CCCCCCCCCCCCCCCGCCTGCCGGCGTTTTTATAGTTCGTACCTTATAATTTAAATCGTCATTTTTTGGTGTAAAATAAGTAATTGGACAAGTATACTGGTGTAAGACATTGTGTAGCCTAAATAATTAGAAGACCAGTTTTCAAAATGGTTGTTATTTAAGGAACTGTTACAATATGCAATTTGTCTCGCAATTTTGTTGCTACACAAGTTGCACATCCCTCTTGCAACTAGTCTCGCAGTGGTTTCCTATTGACTTTTGACTGACAATATTGCGTCAAACGGTAGCACTCGCGGTTTTTATACTATTTTTAATAATGATCATTGCAAGTTGTATGGAACATGTTGCTTGGTGTAACATCCCTTGCAATGCAACTCTGAAATCGTTTTTCTTAACATTGTAAGTTCCGAGAGAAGTTGCTTAGTGTAACAGTGCTTTTACTCCGACTTCTACGGTGAAATATGCATAATAAACTATGGAAACTACGATTTATATAGGAACTAAAAAGGTGAAATATTTTATGGGATACGATAAAGGCGAGAGATTGAAAATTAAGGAGGGTGTAGGTAGAATTTGCAGAGGAGAAGGAAGGAGAGTTTAGGAGTTTGGATAATAATGTGAGACCAAGAGAAGAACAAATTATTACGAGGTATTGAAAATAGCCAACTACACAGCAACAAAAATGAAAGATGGAAAGACAGTGAAAATTGATATAACTACATAAACTGCTACATGTTATTAGTTAAGTTATCCTACCAAAGGAAGATAGTGCGGACATTCCAACACCACATATTTTATTGTTCATCTTCTCAGTTAATTTTGAAGTAGAGCAAATGACAGATCCTTTTAGAGGTAGCTTACTCAATAGTACGTGCAGTGAGTATGAATGATTGTGATGGTAAGGGTGGAGTAGGATTTATATCGTAGTGTGATCATGTGACTGTAGGTGATTGCATCCTAACATGGTGAAGGGAGCTTAATAACAGGGATAGGAACGTTTGGCAATAATAAGTGATCCGTAAGGGATAAAAATTAATTATTACACCGTGCAGGGTTTGATTTTATAAAAAAATATGAGTATACAGTAATAACTAAAATATGTACATATATGACAAAGCCAAAACAGTAAAATGAATGAATGATACAATATGGCCAATGAGGCAATCATTAGCTATAGTTCAAGTGTTAATTTTGCCACCTAGAGGATCCATAAAACATGCCAGGCATGCTTGTGTTACTTGAACAAGGAATCAACGAACCAAAAGATCCCATTTACGGCATTTACTGTATAAAATAATAACTGTCCTGCTTTTTAGGTATTCTTGTTTATTAAAAATGTCATTAATTAAAAAAATTTGCATGAAAATTAGTGACCCTCCCCCATTTTGCACCAGCCCTCCCCCATTTTGCACCAGCCCCCCCCCCCCTATAATTAATGACCGGTACCTAACTAGGCAATAGGTTAAAATACCCAGCGAAAAGGTTAGCTACAATAACCAGAAAATTTAACCAGAATATTAAGTTAACTCAAAATAGGGTTATTTTTAAATAAACCAGGAAATTTAATTATGCATTTTAAACAGAAAGTTTTTAGAGTATAATTAACTTTATAAAAAAAGATGATTTAGATTGGTTGACTTTGCACTGACTATATATATTAGTTAACTTTAGCTCTACAACTTCAAACAACCAGGCTTAGAAAATACAGTAATATAAGTTATTGGACGTGCGATTTCGCTGTACTCAGCCATATATACCAGCTCATGATCATTTATAAAATTGATTTTTTTTAAATTTTCTTCATGAATTATTAATGATTTTACAATGATTTATATGTTTTGGAAACTAGTAATGACATAATAAAATTTCGATACATCTTACTAATGGCAAAGCCAAGACTAATATTCCAGTGCATGCTAATAATTCAAATTACTTATAGATAACAATGCATGGTTTTCGCTAAATGCAGGATGGACGAGGCAGGTTTCAGTTTGAAGATGCAGGCCATTTTTTAAGTTCGATTTACGATACACAACTTTTTCTTAAAACTGTCGTATGCAACCTTCTTACAACTGGAGTTGTATACTGTGTAAATCAAGCACACAACTCATCTACGTTGTTATATATAAGTGAGTTGTATGCTTGATTTACACAGTACAACTCAAGTTGTAAGAAGGTTGCATGCGACAGTTTTAGGAAAAAGTTGCAGTGTAGTGTAAATCAATCTTTGAAAAATCAGCAACCATGCATGCATTTATTACAATCGCAAACTTTACCGTCTAAACCATACCCTATACTAACCCCAATACTATACATCATCCCTACCATTATAACCTTAAACAAAGCGAATTATGTGTTTAATAATTTTAAACTTTGAACTGTTTTGAAAATTTTTCTCTTCTCGTCCATCCCTTTTACCCATTAGGTATCAGCAACAATGCATACGTTCAATCGTCAAATTTTCGTAATACTAATCATTAGTAATCTGTCGTTCGTAATCTGTTCGTCATAGAATATTTATAATAAAATCAAAGAAAAAATCAAAGTCTTATTATATTATAATCATGGTTATAAAGCTAAGTGTATTTTGTTGATTATATATTATATAAGAATAACTGTTTGCCAGCTTCACTCATTGTCACTTACTTTACTATTATGAACAGAGGGAGTAGCATAATAGCGAGAGGGTGAGCGACTGCGGATTTATCCCCACTGCTAAATGGTTGAGTATCTGTAGACGGGCATGGCGACTGGGTTTCACAAAGCGAGAGATCTGTACAACGTCCAGTGATCGAGCTCGTTTGTACATACGCGGGGAGCTTACATTCCCATTTAAAACCAGTTGCTGCCAAGTGATCCTTTACTGAATTCACTTCGCTGAATGAGCAAAATCTGTAGCCAGCTGGGATGACAATGTAAGATCGACTCTTCACTGAATAGGTGTTCACAACTGTGTGTTCTTTAGTGTGAGTGACACCGGCCGAGACGTCTGCTTTCTTCACCTGCGCAGCGACTTCAGCCTTCACTTCTACAGCATTGCGCACGGTGTCGCTCGAGAAATGCTTTTTTTGCACTTCGTAGACGCATGTATGGTTATCACCAATTCGACCAGGACAAGCGGTAGAGAAGGCTTCGACCACGCAATGTATACCAGCATTTTTAGGACCGGAGAAACTATCACACCAATATACGTTTATATGGAGATAGCCATGTAAGAAACTGACGCGGATTTGATTCGCATCTTTCTTCGCAAATTGCCAACTATAGGTACCACTATATCTTCCGCAATAAAGAACAGCTTCTCTCCTCGGTTCTTCGAGTTGTATTCGCATTTCGTATACACCCAACGGGACACGACGACCTGCGACTCGAATATATCCCAACTTCAAACATTTTTGGACAGGAATTGACGTGTTTTTTGCCACAAATGTACATCCGGAACTCTCCGCAGCGCTTAGCTTCGAAGGGAGACTGAGCAGGACGCCCAGAGTAGGTACGACAAAAATCATAAACATCATTGCGCGCTTTTATAAACAATGAACAAGAAAGGAGTGGTGCGTCATGCCAAAAACGAAAGCTCATACATTATCCAATGACGAAAATGAAAAGTCCATGTTCATGACGTTGATGAGTATATTATATCAGAATAGCTACCAGGCCCTCATTAATAATTCATCAGAAACCATGAAGGAAATAGATCTCGACCATGAAAGAGATTCTATAGCTACTTGATACAAAATCCTGCTGGTATACATAAATTTTAAGTTCATTTTTGGCTCCGAATGTCATGCAAGTCGTAAAAGACTTCAAAATTATTTAGAAATATGATCTTTACGAAGATAAACAACCAGTTTATTAATTCTATAATTCTAAGAAAAACCTGGATCTTGTTCTTAGAAAGGGTAATTTTTCCAGGAAAATCGTGCAACTTGCATACCATAAAAACAGCTGCGAAATAATTCCGCGTTGTCTATTTTGTAGCCCGACATAATAGCCGACTGCGAGGGAGGTTATAAGTCCGGCAAAAAGTTCTGACAGGGCCTGAAATCCGAAGTTAGTACTGAAACATAAACTCGTAATTTTGCAGTGTTTTTACTAAATAACCAGAGAATTCATCGAGCTTTAATAAATAATTCTTCAAATATGTTTTGCCATGTTAGTAAAACACTGCAAATTGGGAGTTTATGTTCACTGTACAGTACTTCGGTACTAATCAGTGATCAGTACTTCGGTACTTAGTAAGCAACTTGCGAAGTTGCATGCTTTGCAATTCTCACGCCAAATATTCCAAATTTTGAAACGTAATTGGGAATATTCATCACAATAAACTTGAGAATTGCACGTGCTCTCGTGAATTGCATGAGCTCTCGAGCAGAACTAATTGTAAAAAGACAAAGAGAAATTTCTTTTCGGTCGAAAAATTCCGCCTCGTGGAATCAGGCCTTTAGTCAGACTATCTGCCTATGTGTCTATATATAGCTGAGTTGCATTCCACCCCCAATGTGCTATTTTTTATTTTACTCGTTATGGAGAGAGCACTGGCGCTCAATGGGTTAACCTACGGTGCCCAAACGAAGACAATCATATTTAAGTCTTGGTATTTATTAAAAACGCCACCGTGCTGTTTTGCGCATACTCTAGGGCAACGCACGGTAGTACAACGATTGGTTGGTTCTTTTGAGTTTTTTATTGGAATTCCAAAGCGGATTTCAAGTTCTAAAGTGGCAAAAAATACTTACCAAGCTGAAAAAATGTGTTTTAGTTTGGGCGCAGTAGACATAGATTATGACGTGTTATAATTCGACGCGTGTGCACGTGATCATTAAAGCGTCATCACGCGTGATTCAAGCGTGATGATCTGGTGCTCACTTGCTGACACTCATCGGTTATATAAAAAAGTTTCTTTTAATTTTGTTGTTCTTTTGTAGCACAAAATCGAAGTGCTTTTGAAGTGGACGCTATTTGGCGGAACGACAACAATGCAAGAGTGACATGGATATCTGAGTATGGCAGACAATTCCATTTGTCCGTTCGACCAGTGAATTATAATGCCAGTACTGGAACTTTCTTGTTGAGCAAATGGCGCAAGGCAGTGATTCGTTTCATTGCCGTACGAATGGAGCCGACTGCACAGTCAGATATTGGCACTGACCGAGCAACCTTCAGCGCCGAGATCAGCCTCATAAAAAATCTGTCGTATCAAATACGACTGATGAACGCTGATGGTGGTAACTTGACCGCGTCTGTATTTCTTGACGCTCGTGAAGAATTTGCTGCCGGTGAGTTATTTAGACAATTATTTTTCTCTCCCGTGTTTAAATGGCTTAACGGCTCGTTCAAATGAACCATTTTTAAAATTTCATTTTCTTTTGAGAGGCAATTTTGCTGCCATGTATTTTGGATGAAAAGCGCGGTTCAAAACCTAAAATCTTTTTGGGTACTTCCCAATACATCCTATGAATATATAGCTTTTAGTTCAGTCTTGTTCATAGTATTAGTTTTTTTAATTTTAAGTCAGGTAGTCAAGAAACGATGCTATAAAATTGATGCCATATTTAATTAACAGCAACATAATCTCAAACCTTGTTTTCTCTTTGACGTACCAGCCGAGATCTCTTCATTTTATTTATAATTTTAAGTTTGGTTACTGACTAAGGGGCGTGCAGTGGAAAAAATTAAAAATATTAAAAAAAAATTATATACCAGAGAATCATACTTGATTAATTTGGAGCGCTTGCTACGTACGGTAATGTGTACATGCAATATCTTTCTTCAATTCATTTCCTGTTAATAATTTCATGTAGCTTTTATGTCGTCTTTGGTACAATATTTTAATTTTTTTTCAGATTCAAAAATGTTTTATACAGAACATTAAAAATATTTTTTGTCTTCAGATGATAAGAGCGACCGCAACAACACCATGGACGAAGAGAATTCGTGCTCGTGGTACTCATGCCCAGGTAAAATAACCGATATTTTTCAACACTTATCATTTCATTTCATACTCATAACTATAAAAGTTTAATATATGGCCTGTATTCTTTCCTTTAGCACGTTTGTTCACCGAAATTTTAAACGATTTCGGAAAATCTTGTTTTACCCATGGCGCCATTTTTGCTGCGCCGATCATCGTTGTGGGAATGTTCCTCGTTGGAATTTTGGTTTACGTTGTTATCAGGTAAGGAACTGACTGCGCATTTATTTCATTGAGTCTTTATTTTGTTTGTTATTTATTTCTAATCATTTAGTCCATTCCTTACTTACAAACCTTTTTCCTTCATCCCTGCATCGTTGCTCCTCTTTGCTTTTTTTTTTCAATTTCTCCTTTGTTTCAAGCGAAATCATGACCGTGAAGGAGTTTGTATATCTTAGTTTGTATCATGCTGATTTCCATAAACTTTAAGTTCAGTTTCCTCACCAAATATGTCATTCATTTATTTAAACTTTTTGAAGAATAAGAATGTTCTCATCAAGACGTTTCACAAGCCATTTACAACATTTGCGTCCGTGTTGTATCGGATCATAGACAATCCAGAAGACACTTCTGGTTTGTCTTCTGGATTGACGTTTATGATCGGATATACAAACTGAAGCCTTCACTCGAATCTCAGCCAGTGGCGAAGCCAGCCCGACAATTTGGTCATGATATATCCAATACGTCCGTGTTCATAGACCGTGAAAACGATCAATTTTGAAATCAATTTTGACCGTGAAATGAATCAATTTTTAGAGAAAAAGAAAAGAAAAGAATAACGATAATTAGTATAATTACATAGGTGATTATTGAAAATTCTCCACGCTGATTGGTTACCGTTGAGGTGATTATTACGCGATAATCACCTAAGCGATTTTCAAAATGGCGGCCGAAGCCGTTTTGTCAATTAAAAGACGAAAAAATGTGCATTTTTTAATTTTTTTCCAAATAATCACCTATGAAATTATACTAAAACAATTATTCACCTCAGGCTCGGTGATTATCGTGAATAAAAACCTCGACTTCGTCTCGGTTTTTATTCACCGATAATCACCTCGCCTTCGGTGAATAATTGTTAATTAAAATATGCATAGCATGATCAAATTTTCGGGCTAGCTTTGCCACTGGTCTCAGCTCCTCTGTAAGGCAAAGGCTTTTTTCATATAATTTGTTTTAAGCTCAGGTAATGGGCAATTAAATTTGCTCTGTCTTGTAATCATGTATTTCATTCGTCATGTTAGTAAAATCATCTGTTAATTCCCTGTTCACTATTCATGTTTGCAAATTACGAGGGAAGCAGAATAAATCATTTCATTGATTTCTGGCCATGTTTCTGCTAGTATTATCACTTTCACGGGTAAACACAAAATTTTACATGTTTTATTTCTATCTGCAACGTATTCTTATAGGCGATGTAAATCGAAGAAACAACGCAGAGATATCAACGTTGAAAAACGCACTGTTGATTCAGTTGAGAATCTCAAAATAGACATCATACAGCTGCATGAAATCAGTAATGGAGGTTTAACGGAAGTTGTTGTTTGTCCACCAGCAAAGGAAATGTCATTGCCACATCCTGTTGTTGTCGAAATTCCTGAGATTCTAATAACTGCTCCTCTTTCTGAAGCCGACAGCCAATCAGAATCGAGCGCAGATGAATCATCCTCAGATGAAGGAGAATACATTCTTGACCTAATATGATGCGAAGAATACTCTTTCTTGACATATATACTTTTAAAAATTTTTAAATCTTTTATCTGTATGTGTATGTGCATGTGTAATTTGTCAGCCTGTAAAATGTACCATTTCATGTTTTCTATATGTATATTATTCTCTATATGTGCATAATTCCTGATGTGCATAACATCTTCTGCCGGCTAGCACACATTCACGTGAACAAACCGTGAAATTTATTGTGAACCAATTGAAAACCTCGTACGACATTGTTCTGTTGGGGCATAAGACAGCCCATCCTAATTGACGCCTAACATGCTCGAGTTCGTGCAAAATAACTAATTTACTCTGAGCTGTCGACAGAGTAACATTATCGAAAGATTTTTCCAGAGTTAAAGTACTTTTGAAATTACACTTCAGGAAAAGATATTTCGTGGATATAAAACAACGGTCAATGATATTATTCAGTGAGACGCAGTTTATTCAAATATAACTCTACCGCGGACAAGCGCTTTTACTCTTTTGGTGCATGACAAAGCAATACGTTGGCTCAAGTACCGATGAAGTTATTGCCATTTAATGAAACCGCCCTGGGGGAATTGTAACAAGATCGAGAGTTTATCCATTGGTCGAGTGTCGAGGGTAAAAAGTCGAGGGCGAGGGTAAAAAGTCGAGGGTAAGAATAAAAAGTCGAGGGCGAGGGTAAAAAGTCGATTTAAAACGCAAAATACGCCAGGACCCTCGCCCTCGACATTTTACTCTCTACACTCGACCAATCAGTGCCGTAGCAAGCTCGATATTAGTCTCCTACGCATACCTACTTAGCGGGCAGTGCCCTCACGTAAGGTATGCTTACTTTGGCCAGGAATTCCTTTCCTCAAAATTAGCCAATCACAGCTTTACCCACGAAAATTGTGGGGCTTGACCTTTGACTGACCTTGAGGCTTGGGTCGTCAAAAGTTTGAAAACATTTAATCTTGAACATTTCATTTCTTCATTTGTACGTATTCATATCTTTAAATGAATAAGCCGATTATCTGCGAGAGCTGAGAGATATATTTGTTATACATATACCAGTCTACAAATTTACAATATGGAACAATTGTAAAATCTGTTAGAATTTGTCGAGCTATTGTTTTGAACAGACAGTGAAATACAGTGTAGTAAAATCGATTTATTATCAAATTTCAAATAATGTAAACAGTCGGTACGCGGCCGCGAACAATATCACCTAAAATATTTCGCGATGTTTTGATTACTTTTATACAAGCGTTTGCAGGTGTTACTGTAACACGGGTAATATACTGGACAAAGACGTCAAGACAAAGTCAGTAAAGTTTAACCACAGGCGGCCCAATCTCGCAAGGGTCAGTATAGACTTATAGTATAAATGTATATTATATTAATGTATATTATAGTAAAAATATGTCGTAAAATATAAATTTTAAAATGAAATTGACTTGCCTATTTGATAGTGTGTGTTCTCCTTTTATTCCTCCTTTGTTGGACTAATATTTTCCGAGACTTTGTACTCGATATTACTAGTATACATGAAACATGATAAAGGCTAACGATTCCCGATCGTCGATACGACGGCACGGCACTTCGAATCGAAAATTCTCACACTCAAATCGCTTTATTCTCCAAAACAATTCGCCAGCATGTACAGCAAATGCCGTTCTTCGAAAATACAGAGGTATTTCGGCGAGATGTACAAGTTTTGGACCATATTTTAACAATGGAAATCAAAACCCATTTTACTTACCCGGACCGAAAATTACTACGGCGAACGTCTGCGCAACCAGGCCTCCTTTACCGTTGGATTTACAGGGGGGAGGATGCCACTAATATATTCACGATAATATTTCGAATTAAAGTATCATATTTTACCATACTTTCCAACAAAGAGCCGCTGTATATTACTTCTTCCTTAAATTTCTTCAATCTCCGTCGTTTAATTTTCTTTTCTTCGACAACATCTCGAGTTTTATACAGTATCCGATCGAAGGAGTTTTTATTTTGAATATCAAATTTCAAATAATGTAAACAGTCGCTACGCGGCCGCGATTGGCTGGCTGTTACCGGAAATATCTGCTTCCCCCCTGTAAATCCAACGGTAAAGGAGGCCTGGTTGCGCAGACGTTCGCCGTAGTAATTTTCGGTCCGGGTAAGTTCAATATAAAATGGGTTTTGATTTCCATTGTTAAAATATGGTCCAAAACTTGTACATCTCGCCGAAATACCTCTGTATTTTATAAAAACGGCATTTGTTGTACATACTGACGAATTTTTTTGAGAATAAAGCGATTTGAGTGTGAGAATTTTCGATTCGAAGTGCCGTGCCGTCGTATCGACGATCGGGAATCGTTAGCCTTTATCATGTTTCATGTATACTAGTAACATCGAGTACAAAGTCTCGGAAAATATTAGTCCAACAAAGGAGGAATAAAAGGAGAACACACACTATCAAATAGGCAAGTCAATTTCATTTTAAAATTTATATTTTACGACATATTTTTACTATAATATACATTAATATAATATACATTTATACTATAAGTCTATACTGACCCTTGCGAGATTGGGCCGCCTGTGGTTTAACAGTGTACATTAATACTGCGGGTGTAGATAATAGATTTATAAATAGTTAAATACTTATAATTGAAGATTACAGAATTCAGCCTATAATATATAAAATACTGAATTAATTCATTGCATATTTCGGTTTCTTAGTTTGTATATGACTAGCCAGTTTATAAAGTTTAATAAAATCGTAATTACGAAAGTCGCTCTGATATTGAACGTTCGGAAACTTATAGTATATATTGAATATACAAGTCATGCCGTCACGCAGTCGCGTCAAGTTCAAAACAAGTATATTTACCAGTGAATAGTTATATACATGCATTTAAGCCTTCGACCTATCTATCGCGCAGCTTAGTGCCAGTCGTTCCGAAGCAAGCGCGAGGAAAAACGTGGATGTAGTACGAGACTGGGACCTAGGTGTGACGTCACCGCTAAAGGTGCTTCAAACGCCTAGCAGATTTCAGTATTTTTAATATGGCTGAAAATTTATATATACAAATAACCTTGTAAATACGACAATGTTCGTTGATCATGTTCGATGTCTACATAACCAAATTCAAACTGTATTAAAAATGTGCTCAATTAAAAAAAATATATATACAAATTTACGATACTGAGTCTGAGCAATGGTCGTATAATCGTTGATGATATTTATGTACTCGCAAGTTGTGATCAACACTATAGACCATACTGGTATGCACAACTACGCGGCTCTACTTGACAGGTTTAAGTAGCTGAGGAGATTGGAAATATTTGCCTGACATGACTGTGTTGTCAAAACATTTTTAGTCGTAGACTCGGCATAATTTTAAAGCTTATAGATAGCATTTAATATGGCTTTATATTTTAGTAAACACGACTCACATTTAGCCCGTTATTCCATTCTGACCGTATGGTAGCGAAACGTAGCCTATTTCATTGTTCCGACAGCATTAGAACAAAACTAATGACTTTAATTATAAACGCAAAGGAAATTTCCATAACATTTTCTATTTACAAATGCGATATGCTTGGTAACCAGGCCAGGGACCACTTTTTTGAAATCAGGGACCATTTTACCGAAATCTGCTAGGCTCTCTCGCTGAAGCGTTCCGCACAGCACACCCAGGCATAAAACTTTTAAGACTTATTTAAATATATCAAAGCAGCGAATAGAGAGGGAGCTTGGGACTAGGCTGTCTATCGCGTACATTCGTTGGAAAAATATTCAATATTTTCTACTTCGACTGCTATTGATCAGAAAACTTGATCTGTTCACATGTATGGCCATTTAAATACGTATATACCGTATTATTATTCGATTATCGATATCGCACGCTCCCAGCCTAGTCTATTCGCTGCTTTGATATATTTAAATAAGTCTTAAAAGCTTTATGCCTGGGTGTGCTGTGCGGAACGCGGAACGCTGGCAGATTTCGGTAAAATGGTCCCTGATTTCAAAAAAGTGGTCCCTGGCCTGGTTACCAAGCATATCGCATTTGTAAATAGAAAATGTTATGGAAATTTCCTTTGCGTTTATAATTAAGTCATTAGTTTTGCTCTAATGCTGTCGGAACGATGAAATAGACTACGTTTCGCTACCATACGGTCAGAATGGAATAACGGGCTAAATGTGAGTCGTGTTTACTAAAATATAAAGCCATATTAAATGCTATCTATAAGCTTTAAAATTATGCCGAGTCTACGACTAAAAATGTTTTAACAACACAGTCATGTCAGGCAAATATTTCCAATCTCCTCAGCTACTTAAATCTGTCAAGTAGAGCCGCGTAGTTGTGCATATCAGTATGGTCTATAGTGTTGATCGCAACTTGCGAGTACATAAATATCATCAACGATTATACGACCATTGCTCAGACTCAGTATCGTAAATTTGTATATATATATATTTTAATTGAGCACATTTTTAATACAGTTTGAATTTGGTTATGTAGACATCGAACATGATCAACGAACATTGTCGTATTTACAAGGTTATTTGTATATATAAATTTTCCGCCATATTAAAAATACTGAAATCTGCTAGGCGTTTGAAGCACCTTTAGCGATGACGTCACACCTAGGTCCCAGTCTCGTACTACATCCACGTTTTTCCTCGCGCTTGCTTCGGAACGACTGGCACTAGGCTGGCACGCTCCTTGTTTACACTTTACAGTTGACATTCAAAGTGGGCGTGTCTAGTGTATTTGAATGCTATTGGCTAATGGAATAAAGCTAAAGAGGGATAGCGGTTCGTCCGAAACAAACGCACTGGAAATGGCAAACATGTTAAACGACTTTTTTGTAAATATTATTACACAAATACAGAACGATCAAGTCTTAACAAATCCTTTGGATACGAAAATTATTGATGACTTTGTCTCAACGAAAATCAACAACTTTGTCACACAATACAACATTCCATCTATAACTGTTGAGCAAGTAAATGAACTTATTAACAATTTATCATGCTCGAAAGCTACTGGCGTAGATGGTATTAGTGTGAAGATCTTGAAATTGGTTTCTCCGGTGTTTTCTCATCCATTAACAAAGCTTTTAAATATGTCACTAGACAAAGGCATTTTTCCTACAAAATGGAAAATAGCACGGGTAATAACACCTTTACATAAATCTGGCTTACGTGATGATAAAAGCAATTATAGACCTATATCTTTGCTACCTGTCATTTCTAAAATATGCGAGAAACATGTTGCTAGATCCGTTATGGATTACTTTACCAACAATGGGTTACTCTACGAACGACAATCTGCTTTTCGTAAAGGACACTCTACAGAGACAGCCTTAATCAATCTTACAGATCAAATATTACTTAATATGGATAAAGACGAAGTTACTCTTATGGCTTTTGTTGATTTTAAAAAGGCTTTTGATCTAATAGACCATCAAGTCCTATTGTCTAAATTACACTTGTATAGAGTAGCTGACTCAGCAATCAAATGGTTCACATCTTATCTCACTGGAAGATCCCAATTTGTAACTATTGATGGACAGCAGTCAAGTCGTTTGCCTGTTAATCATGGTGTGCCGCAGGGTTCAGTACTGGGACCTATACTGTTTCTTCTATATGTAAACGACATTCCACTCCATCTATCACATTCATCAGTTGATATATTTCCAGACGATACAACCTTATCTGCAAGTACTCATTGGAATGATATTCCCTCAATGGTCCATGATATAAATTGTGATCTTGCTGCCTTAAATCAGTGGTCGATTCAAAATAAGATGAGTATTAACGACGAAAAAACAAAGTTTATGCTTATATCAGGAAAGCGTCTTGAAAAGAAAATCTTAGAAAAAGGGAATATGGACATAGCAGTTAAAGTGGATGATACACAGATTACTGAAGTAAATTGTCAAAAACTCCTTGGAGTAACGATTGACAATAGATTAAATTATGAAGAACATATTGATTATGTCGGAAACTATCGAAACAGCTTGGTCTTCTCAAACACGTTAGTCCGTACCTCAAGAAACAGCAAAGGGAGTTGTACTTTAATAGTGTTATAAAGCCTGCGATGATGTACGGGAGTGTAATCTGGGATAATTGCAATGCTGAATGTTTTCAAAGAGTATTGAAACTTCAAAAGCGGGCAGCCCGGATTATTTTGGATGTAGAAAAGATGACACCTTCAATTGTTATGTTTAACACTTTAAATTGGCTTCCTTTTACGAAGGAGTCTTTGATCAAGAGAATAATGTTAGCGTATAAGCGTGTGAATAGTGCTTATAATACTCCTAGCTATCTAAATTCACTTTTAGAGCGAAATTCAGACAGGCATAGTAGGAATACACGTTATTCGAATTTGAATATGCTATGCCCAATTTACAATCGTAAAACAGATGGAGGCAGAACCTTCACTGTAAGAACAATTATAGACTGGAACAAATTAGATTTGAACGTTAGAAGTATACATTCTGCTTTTAGCTTTAGGCGTAGTATTTATAAACAGTTTTTAGATGATCAAAAATGTGCAAATAGGTTGCAGCGTTAGGGTCGTGTTTTAATAATTTTAACTTTAAATAGGGACTGTGTTCTAATATCTTAAATTTTGTAAATTTTGAGGGCCACAAGTTTATCAGTTTCTTACTGTCACGTGTTTACCCTCAGTAAATAAAGCCTTTCACTTCACTTCACAATACAATGGAAAGGCGAATTGCTAGCCAAAGTAAGCAGACCGTACGTGGCGGGCCCAAACCCGCTAAAGTAGGTCTGCATAGGAGACTACCTCGATATTAGAGACCTTACGATTTTAGGACGGCAACGCGACGGCAACGGCTACCAATACAATAGATCATTGAAAAGAACTGAGTAATTACAATAAATGAATAATTTAGACATTGTTCTCGCTCTGTTTACAACGCCAAATCACAGATTTTCACGTCTTGATACAACGGCTGCATTCCAAGCCACAACAAGTGCAACTTCAAACTGGGTTTAGCAGAACTCTTCCCAACCATAAAACCCATGTTTTCAACTTCTAAGGCTGTATTAAATTCATACGATTGATAATATACGACGAACTATCGACTACCATTTATTTGAAGGAGTTTGTTTTGGCCGTCGCCGTCGCGGTTGCCGCCCTAAAATCGTATAAGGTCTCTAATTGGGAAGGCGGGGGGCTCATATTCATATATTCGTGTTCTGCGTTATTAATTTCTTTTGAAATCGATTGTTTTTATGGTCTGTGAACACGAATACAGTATATGAATATGAGCGCCCCC